CCCCCAAGGTCACCCAAATGTGTCCATGTGAGCAATATTTTTACAGATGCTTATAATTAGATTGCTACTTCTGTCACTACTGTTCCTGTGTTTCTCATTCGTTGGAAATAGAGACCGAGGGAAGAGAAAATGCTGATTCACAAGAAATATAAAGCAGTGTCAGTGTGAGGATTTCTTTCTTCTTCTTCTATCCCGTGGATGAGGCACCCGTGGGGGCACCACTGCATCTGACAACCAGCTCTAGCCATTTTTCTTTGTCCTCTGCTTTCCTCAGATTGTCATCAATCGTCTTTCCTGTTCACTCTGTAATGGTGTCCTCCCATCTCCTTCTCTGCCTTCCTCTCTTTCTCTTTCCTTGTACGGTTCCTTGTAGGATTGTTTTGGCAAGTCCTGTGGATTTTGTGACATACCCATACCATTTTAATTCTCGTCTCTTTACTGATTTCTTTGGGGGATCGTCATAAAAGCGTGTCCTTGAGTAAGACTCAGATGGTAGGTGCTCTGTTTGGTTCTGCACTTCTCACTTCTTTAAGCGCCGCTATCTCATCAGTCCTTGAGCAAGACACGTTTACCTAATCTAAAAAATGGGAGCTGCATATGTATGAACACCAGAGATGTATGGAATGTTTGTGAGTGTTATGTTATGTATTATTCATGCTTATGCATGTATGTACGCCATTGTAAACAAAATTCATAGAAGAATGAATAAAGGACAATTATTTATTCCTCAGCTACTGACGTTTATATTCTGGTGAGATGCAATCGCCTTTACGGGATTTTTTTGATACAGTACAACTTAAAAACTCTTTACCTTTCACGCACCCCCTTCCCCTCCCGCCCCTTTTCACAGTGACTACTCCGCCCTGCTGTACCCAGGCGGCCATTGCCTCATATAAGATTTGGCTTCCGAAGATCACAGCAGACGTCTACGAGAAGGGCGGCGTTGTGGCGGCAGTGTCTCACGGACCAGCAGGTTATTCTTCTCCACAGATTTTTGTTTTTGCACACACACACATACATACACACGCGCGCGCGCATGCACGCGCACCAGGGGCGAAGGCTGACTTGTTTGACAGGGTAATCAAAGTGACACGGGACCAGATATGGCCTGTAGATATCACACAAGAATCTTCCTCGAGGCGGCGACTCTGTGTTGTGAATGAAAACAAATCCGGAATTCATATTGTATGTTCAACCACCAAAATAATCGGGAAAGTATCTTATTAGATATCAATTCCAACTAAAATTAAATTTAACTTTAGATATGAATACACAAACACCAAGCAAAAAAAATAGAGATGTCAGTACTAGACCTATATGTTATAGATCTACCAGTGAGTCTAACTCTTTTGATAGAACATGACAATTATCATTTTTTAGATTTCACATTTGGCTGTTTTTGTCTAGCCTTTCGCGGCCAGGAGCTGGTGTCATAATCGAGGTCACGATCTGATTATAGGACGGTAAAAAGTCGAGGAAAAAACAACAAAACAAGCACTTGCAGCAGTCAAGAGATTATTAGGAGTTAGTTCCCCTCACATTTGTGAGGTAGACTCGACCAGTGTTAGTTAGCTTACATAATCAGGGCTTGGGATTGCTTATAACTGTGGCCCCAAAGGGGTGAACAGGGTATTTGTGGCAATGAAACAGTTTTGACTGCTATGCACATGTTCCCTTCAACTCTATTGGTAGACTCTTCCAGCCTCACTTCAAGCTTACTTAATCAAAGCTTGCGACTGCTTATGGAGTGGCCCGAGAGGGGTGAGCAGGCTATTTCTGTGGCCGTGAAACCGTTTTTAATGTTAGGCATACTGTTCATTGTTGACTATGAACGTCTTTTTACATTTAATTTATGAGGTTTACGTTTATGGATGAATTTAAAGGCGACAATGTTTCAAAATTAGGAAGGGAAGCAGTGATTATTTGATTATAAAGACGCTTCGCCACTGGCGCGCACACACACACACCCTAACTAACTCTCTCTCTCTCTCTCTCTCTCTCTCTCGCTCTCTCTCGCTCTCTCTCTCTCTCTGTCTCTCTCTCTCTCTCACACACACACACACACATACACACACACACACACACACACATTAGTATACACATATCCACTTTTGCTTTCCAGTACTCTGTTGGGGCATTTTTGCACTTTTTATGGTGCTTGATGAGCTACATTATTATGGTTTTCCGCAGTATAACATTGAAAGAGGCATGAAATTGTTTGTCCTGTCTCTTAAATAACAATCTCACAGGCTTGATAAAAAATCTTTTACACACACACATGTACCGTACAATATTATCTAATAAGATCAGGAACATCTAGCAAGATTAAGAGGTCTAAATATTCGGGCTCAACATCGGACGTCCTGATGAGAATTGTTTTCTTAAAAGGAGACAAGATACGTGAACCAAAGGCTTCAAGAATCTAAACAAGTATAGCAGCATCCAGCCAATAAAAGAAACGTACGTTCTGTTTTTCAGGTCTCATTCCCGTTAAACTGTCTAATGGAGAGTCGATTGTCAAGGGTAAGAGTGTGACGTCATTCACAAACCCCGAAGAAGACGAGATTCAGCTGAGTCAATACATGCCTTTTATGCTTGAGACAAAGCTCAAGGAACTGGGTGCCAATTTCCAAGCGTCCAGACCGTTTGAGGAAAACGTTACGGTGAGAACGTTTGTCATCATTGTCAGGTGCCAGATCTGTGACCAGTGGCGGGGCGCCATGGGTGCAACTGGTGCAAGCGCTCCACCTAACCCTGGCCTTCACCCCCCCCCCCCACCCCCCAGTCAGTGCTCTAGATCTACATTATGAAAGCCTACTAGATCTACACATATTTTCATGTCAGCCTTTGTACTTCCGGCAGAATCCGACTTTTAGCACAATTAGCCGGTTTTGGACATAACCATAGTTTTTGGCGCATATTCCCGAATTTTGAAATCCAACACTGTTATTTCTCTAAAATTTCCCAAGCCAATACAGACGAACAGTGTTCTGTTTGATGTCTACGTCATAAACAGGATGGTTCGTTTCTTATCAAGCTTTTATTATCCCGCGGAAGAAAATCTTACGGTTGGCTTGCACGGACAAATAGTTTTAATCTATGATATTTTGGGAACAAATTATTTTTAAAAAGAATGTCATGGAAACATCGATCCTGTTAGTTCATTAATTTTATTTTGTTATTTGTATATTTTGACTTCTATTCAGTTATATAGCCGGAGTGTTATAACACATTACATACATCTGATGCTTAATTTAAGTAAAAGAAAAGTCATGGTATAGTGAATAGAAATTGTTATACCACACAGGCTCGAGGAGGACAGTAGATTAAGATGTAACCTATCACATTCGTGAGAAAGTCTGGCTTGAATTCAGCTTGTCCATTTTGGGGAACAATGCATTGAACATTTTGCTCTTTCATTTTTGGGGACTATGAGATGAAATGGGTTTTTGCCCACTATACGTATGAATAGAAAGTTGCGCCTTGTTGTCTTGACTTATCCGAACTCATCTAGAACAACAAGATTTCATCGTGGGTTAGAAGGGAAATAGTGTCACATTCTAGGGAACATCTGAGTGAAGTAAGTGTTAACAACGATCTCAGATGTCTCTAAAGCTCCTTCAGACCAGTGGAGTAGTTCACCCCAGGAGAAATCAGAGCCGACGACGAACACGTCATCAGAGACCGATGGACGTCGCAGGATCCCTGTGACCTCATCAAAGCGGAAACCAGGTCGATACGATCTCCATGCACAGCCGAAGGGGTAGGCGTCCCAGAACTGAACCCAGCTGGACAAAGGTTCTGGGATGTCTGTCCGGGCAAGACCTGGAAGTGGATCAAGATTGTTGATGCAGTGTTAGAGGGAGAGAGGGGAGAGAAAGAGAGAGAGAGAGAGAGAGAGAGAGAGAGAGAGAGAGAGAGAGAGAGAGAGAGAGGGGGG